TCCAAAACATCATCATTATAATCATCGTCGTGTTTGTCGTCATCATCGTCATCATCGTCATCGTCGTCATCGTCGTCATCATCATCATGGTCATCCTGTCTTTTATAAACATCCCATTTTAGTTTTAGTCAACATTCATTTTTAATGCATAACAGCGGGAGATTTTTTCGAATGGAATAATAAAAATAACGAAATAAGAATAATAATAATAAACACAAATAATAATAACAACAAAGGTAATGTTTTGGGTACTTTCTCTCTCTTCATCATGTTCTCTCTCTCTCTCTCTCTTTGTGTGTGTGTATGTGTGGTGTATGTGCGTGTGTGTGTGCGAATAGTTAAGATGAAAATGTTGAAAGTATTATTACAATACATTACAACACAACACAATACAACACAATACGACACAACACAATACCATACAATACAATACAACACTAAACTACACAAAACAATAATAATAATAATAATAAGAAAAAAAATAATAACAATGAAATGAAGAATAATAAGAATTTATATCAAGCACTGTATCTAATACACCGGAGAATTTCGTCCAGTTTCAATGTATTTTTTCGTTTTATTGACATTATTGTTATTATTATTATTATTATTGTTGTTATTGTTGTTGTTGTTTTTATTGCTGTTATTATTATTATTTATTGTTGTTATTATTATTCTGTTGAAAATACTTTTTTTCAAATTCGGACACAATTTTCAGGCATAAACAAATGCTAGAAACAAAAATTTAGCCCAATGTATTATAAAAAAATGGTAAAAATAAATCAATAATAATAATAATAGTTATAATAATAATAATAATAATATATGAAGTTGAAAAAAATGCAGTTTCTGTATAAAGTTTACAATGTTTCAAAACTTGTTTATTCATCAACTTTATCTTCTCTAGACATGTGTATGTGTGTAGTGTGTGTTTGTATGTGTGTTTGTATGCATGTTGGTATTTGTGTATGTGTGTGTGTATGTGTGTGTGTGTGTAAGCCTATTTTCTACATATTTTCTAGTTTTTTATAGTTAGTTCGAAACTCTTGAAATTGAAGTAATTAAAAAAACTGTTGTAACGAAATTTTTAAAAAGTTATAACCCAACAACAACAACAACAACAACAACAATAATAATAATAATAATGATAATAATAAAAATAATAAGACAATAATACAAACTTATACAGAAAAAAACAAACAACAAAAACAATAATTTTTGAATAAAGAAAAACTTCATTTGAAAATACCGCCATTATTGCTTTTATACTGCGGAACATAGTACCATCAATATAGAAATAAAACCGCTTGTGTTGTTGTTTGACCTATCTCGGAAGGAGGTTACAACACGCACACACACACACTCACGCACACATACACATACACACACATACACACACACACACACTCATAAACACGCCATAAAAACT